AATTAACAATTATTTAATAGCGATCCATGAAGTTTTGTATTGTTTAAAATAACGGAACCAAATTTTATCGGAAACTGGGGTAATATAAAATTAATTATTATGGGTGGTTAGAAAGTAGGTACCTATCTAAAGTTTTGTACTACCTAACATGAGTTATAGTTTGGTATCCCAAATAGGTAAGCATTCTGTCTATTTACAATAAAAACTTCATATTGCATAATGAGCTTTTTTTCTAACCTTAGAGCTTTAGTTGAAGAAACAGGTTAATTTTATTTTAAGTATAGAAATTGCGAAGAAAACTTAATTGCTCCCATTTTCCAATTTCCCTTCAATCACCAGCAAGATAATCCAAGTTCCTATCTCTACAATGTCGGATCGCCATAAATACTTTTAAGTCTTACAAATCAACCCAATAATTTACGGGTTGACAGTAAAAATCAGGTAACATGACATAAATAAAGAAGCGAAGCGAAGCAAAGTATGGCTCATCAGAATAGTTCGATAAAGTTGTTCGGTCGTGATAGGCGCGGAGTGGGGATGCGTGTACGCGCGCCGGCCCAATAACAATAAATTTTGTACGTCGTTTGAAGCGCCGTTCGGACACTGCCGCGTTACTACAAAACACAGTTCTGAAGTCGGTAAGGTATTATGGTCTTTTGATCTATGGATACTTTGTAAACAAAATTTGGCAGTTACCGTAGTTAGACAAAGCATACTTTCACAATGAAGGAAGGAAAATGGTAATTTTTGTGACAGTTCTATTTAGGTACATTGTGAATTATTGGTTCTTTTAACAAAATCTTCCATGAAGACTTAACCTTAAAGTTTCAGGGTTTATAGCTCTATTTATGTTTCCTTTTGCTACGGTGGCAAAACCTCCTCTGCCACCATAGGAAAAGGAAAAATAAATTCACAACATTAATGGCTATGTAATAAAATTATAGATATAATGCATCTTTGCTTGTTATTAAAGTTCCAATGTGAATCAAAATTTTAACGACTGTGGAACTTTAGTAGACTTTAAAAGAAAATAAAGGTTTGAGTTCTAACTATTACTAAAGTTCCGAACCATAATAGTATTTCAGTAACAATAAAATTAACACACTTTAATTTTTATTTACAAATGTGAAAGTGTTTTGTAAATAAGCAACTTAGGTGCTCTGCTCCTGTCACAGAGGAGCAATACAGATTAAGAGGTCGGTGTGAACCGGTGCGCCTGCGCGCTATCGTTCTGTGCTTTAGTCGGAAAAAGCGCTAATAGCACCGAGCGCGATATATGAGCAACCGCTACTCAAACCATCTGAGCTACATAATTTATTTAGCTAAGCTTAAACGGATTTCGAAAGCTAAATCCCTAATTACCTGAAATATTATTAAGTTTACATAACATTTGTTCTTACTTACTTACATAAAATACTCGTATTTTTTATCGAGGCCCCTTCTTATCCGATAAATATTATGACAAAAAATTAAGATCAAGAATAATGCAGCAACTTAAATCTCTACCTCGTTATTGAGGTAAGCACTCAAACCGTTTTCATTTTCACACAAAATCAAGCAACAACGTTGTTATCCTCGATCACTTTTCACACATTTCTTTGCGAAACACTAAAGGATATGACATCATTCGCACATAAAATTCACATATTATTCATATGCAAATTGACTGAGCAATCATAACATAAATTCTTTAATATGCCCACTCCGAACAAGCTTATAACGGAGGCCAATAAAATAATGTTCTCGCTCGTAACGACTGTATCGAAATTTTTCGGTTGACATTTAAAATTAGCCTTCCAAGTCCTCTGCAGAAGCATATCGGTACGTTTCTTATATTGTCTTTTTATGACTTTATTTACAACGTTATTCCTCAAATATTACTTTGCATTAAATTATAAAGCGAAAGTTGAATCAATTCAAAACTGTAACGGGCATTATTCCAGCCGAGCTTCGCGGTATTCGGACGGCTGTGGGAATGTGAAACTACGATCAGAAAGCGATAAGGATAATTAATTAAAATTAGAATTTTTAGCAAATTAAATTACACGCTAATTTCATAACTCAAAGTTAATGATATAAGCAGAGACGCCCAATCAATAGATAAGGCAATTAAGATTAGTAAAACGGGAAACGAAGCCCAAACATGCGTGTCATTAAGTCATACGAGGCGCGGACTCCGATACAGTATCGTCGTTTCCCATAAAATCATGAGCAGATTCGAAATGTAAGCACATTAAGTTATCGGTCGAATTATCTCGTCCCCGGCACCAATATTTATTTGTTTCTCACTCTCGAGGGGCTTAGGCGATTGCGGGTGAAGTGTTCTCTCCCAATTAGGTGGTTATTGACGTTTTACTGTTATCGCCTTAATCTTGGAACCGTGCCCCGTATTTATAGACGGACACCATTCGGGTTGCATTTTGAGATTTTGAGAGGAATGCTTTGATGGTGCAATTGAATTGTAATGAATTACTAAATTAGTAAAATGGTCGGCTACATTCTAAAGAATAATGCTCTGTCGTTGTTAAAACAAAATTCCAAAAGTTATTGGTTACTTTTGTAAGCGTCAAGTAAGTAAAGCTTACTTTGTCAAGTCACTATGTCGTCAATACTGTGCCAAGTTAGAATTCTTAAAGCTCATCAAAAATATTTCCCGTAGTTGTAAATTAATAATTTGCTGAAAGTTGATCTGTGTTGAATTTTGTGAAAATGCTGAACCTTATCTCAGCAACTTATTCATGAAAAAGCTTCTAAAAATTAATAAAATCATTTTGTTGTAATTCATTCACTTCAGTCAGTACCCATGATTAGGCCACGACTATAAATACGTGTAAACGATACAGCGCCCAAAATCGACATTTATCCCAAAAAGGGAAGCTGTTAATAGAGTCGTTCAACGTTACCGGCCGAATTATCTACAAAGAGAAGAGTCGGTCCGGTGTCCGTCCGACTCGGAAATATAAATTTATTTGGTGGTTGTCGCGCGGACACGGGCGCGGGCGCCGCGGTCTATCTCGCGCGTAATCTTGAACATTGGCGTTAAAGAATTTAAATTATACGCCGCTACAAATGAACGGGCGACCTCGCCTTATTTATTGCCTTAATCCAAATTATATCGACTAGCATTTCTCGACACATTGTCACGTGATTTGTTCCATTAACACCGACTCCGCTCGATTATTATAAGCCTGGATTATCGGCTGACGATGTTTTAACAACATGTAAGTTTATGCACTAATAAAAATAGTCGTTTTAATATTCGATATCGGCCTCTTGATGATCTCTTTGGGTCAATGGTTAACGTCACCGGTGGACGGCATTATAAATTAGGACTCTCTAATCTTATTAAATATTTCGACAGATTGAATACGTGAAGAGGTTTCTTAAAATATTTTGGATGATTTGTTCTAAAAGTCGCTAAAAACTTATATTAAAGTCTAATATTCATTCATTGAAAAGTATTATACGCCTGATGGCAATTAACATAATCACGAGGAACTGTATGTTATAACTAAAAAGCTTATTCTAGATGGGGCAGACATGAGTAGAAGAAGGTTACATTTTAGCATAATGTGTTATGAGGTTAAATAACGATCGATTCCTGAGACTGAGAGCTTACCTGAGCCGAACGGATCCAGTAGGCCTAAGATACGCGCCGTGATAACTTTTATCGACGTCAATTTGTATGGGCAAAATCGATAAAATGGCGTGATAACCGCCTATCACGGCGCGCATCTTAGGCCTACAGGTTTTAATTTTAAGGCAACGTATTACGATGCGTCATCAACCAGCCGAATCCTAAATCGTTTCATCATCAACAGCCCTTTACAGCCCACTGCTGGACTATGAGCCTCCTCCACTATAGTGGAGGGTTTTGCCATAATCTTCACGCTTGGCAGGCGGGTTGAAGATATCTCCTAAATCGTTTAGAAGTTTGTTATTTAGAAGATGAATAATGAAATGAAACTGATCTACAAAAAACATTGACAATAATAATAGTCCAACTTGTTCTTACATCGGTGCCATTGGTCGCATTTATAAAGCGAGTTGTCAACTGCGCCCTATAAATTCCAATTACTAATATTTCTCCTCGCTTACCACTAATTAAGTGAAGCAACCAATTCACGCATGCGCATCGATCGAAGCTCGCCTGAAGACACCATTAGTCTTGCTACTATACCTTTCTTTATTACAAAGAATTTTGCATGACTAGAAGGGACATTAGTGGGCCGAGTTAACTAGTGTGAGAAAACTCACACTAGGCCCTCAGAATCTAACTAATGAGTTCTGTTCTAGTTTCCAACTAGACATACTTCCTACTTTACTCAATTTTGAAAGATATTTTTACCACCAATTTATAGTCATGTATCTTTGTATCTCTATTTGTCATAGTATAAAACCGACTCTAAAAACATGCACTAAAAAGTAGAAAAAGAATTACTAATTACTTATTTTGAACAAAATTTTTGAGAGAAACATTGATTCGATTAACTCTATCTAACTACTTATATTCAATTGAAAAAAATGAAAATTACTCACCAAAAGTACATTTGATGTGTGTTCAAGAGATTGCATTAATTCTTTACAATTGTGTAACGTGTCCCATCTAGATATACATAACTCTACGCAGTCACGCAAATTTATTGCAAGACATATCCATTTCAAAGCCTATATGCTAATATGCACTCTGCAATCAACTTTATTAAGTCGATGGCTTCAGGTATCTCTATCTGTACTTTTGTAAATTGTTATCTTGTGAATTACATTATTGTAGGGACAACTTCAATTGGCAGGGGTGAACAAAAAAGGGTAAATTAATTTAGCTAGCTAGCTTCGTTGGAAAAATACATAGTCTTTTTGAAAAGAAATATATTGCGAATTATATATTATATTCACTAAACATTACACCAATGCAAAGAATAACGTCTATGCACTGTATATTTCATGCATGTAACAACTGTAAAAACTTTTAAAAATATATTTAACACTACATAGCCCATACTTCAAAGCACATTTTCAACCGGTCAACTGAATTCTCAATTTCCTTTTCTCTTCTAAGATTTTCTTCAAATCACTAATTTCTTTTGATGGTGATGTTTCAAGAGTCATTTTAGATTTTTTATTTTGTTTTCGCATCACTGCACGCTCTGACATGTAATTTTTAATAGAATTCTTCGCTTGTTGCAATTCTTGTTTTGCAGCGATATTCTCTTCTTTAATCATTTGACGTTTCTTCTCCAGTTCTTCGTTTAAGCCAATTTTCAAAGCTGATAACCTTTCTTGCAATTCAGCAAAAGACATTTCACATAGTGAGCCAATACCAGAAGTTTCAGTTAAATCTATTATTCTTGGTATTTTAGCTTTCTTAGCTATCATTGCAAGTATTTTTATTTCCTTAATCATGATGACTCTACGGTCTAGCTCATCTTGTTTTTCTTTCATAGCTTTAGCCAACATAATTTCGGACTCTTTTTTTAATTTGTCTGCAATTTCTTTTTTCTTGGCAGTAACTCCATGTCTGGCTTGAAGTAAATTAAGTTCTATCAAAGATAATTTTTCTACCTGTTTTCTATTTTTATCCATTTCCAACTTTCTCCATTTTTCGATATCCTGATTCCAAATCTCCTTCTCTTTTATGAATTCTTCATACTTTTTCTTGTTTTCATCATGTAATTTCTTTTTGGAAAGAACAGCTTCTTCATAAGAAATTTGACCCATCAAATGTTTCCTTTCTATATCAAGTAATCTTTCTCTTTCCCTTTCTTGGCGATCATACTCTTCCATTTCATCAATTTTAGCTGTATTTCTACATGTTGTCATCAAAGTTTGCAACCACTGCACCTCTTCTTCTTGTGCAATTTGAATTCTTTTATTAGTTCTTTTTAAATTTGCTACCGTTTCTTTGACTGGTGGCAAAGAAGTTTTCATAGCAAATGTTGGTTTCGGCTTAAACGGCTTTGTTGCTTCAATTTCCATTTCATCTTTAATACTGGACAGGCGTTTGAAGTACCTTTCTGATTTAACCTGGGCATAATGAAAGTTTTTAGTTTTGACGTCATTCAATAAATGTGAGGCTTTTTGTTGATTTTTTTCATGACTGTGTTTCAGCCTTTGATCAATCACATTTTTTGTAAGCATTCTTTTTTTCATACGCAATGAATTAGGTGGAGTTACTGGCAGAGATACTTGAGGTGGAGATACCGGTGCTTCTTTAGTTTTTCTATTTAAAACATTTAGCTGCACTGGTACCGTAGGAGGCTTCAGCTTTCGGCTTTCTATCTTTTTTACGTACTCTGCATAGCTATGGGCCATTTCACTAATATAAGGTTGCCAAGTAAATAGTGGACTTATTATTTTCTCTGTTGTGTAATTAGTGTCATAATAAGCTTGAGCTATTTGAGACACAAATGTTAGTACTTCATTGTTACTCAAAAACTTCGTAAATGTACTTAAAAGAGGCTTACTTAAATTGAAAAGGCATTTGTAAAGAAATTGCATGTCCTTTGGTGTGATCTGAAATGTTAGAGCGTGGAGGATAACCATGAAATAATCTTGATCCTCTTCGGTGAGCTCATCAGACATGTGCGAAGCAATTTCTTTCAAGAATTGTCCATGTTTCTGAATTCCTAAAAATGTCTCGGCAATCCAGGAAAGTTTCGAGTCCTCGATGGTATCGGGACATTTTTCGATATAAGTTTTCATATACTCGTACGGCGACACTTCGTTCGTAGCACCGTAATCAATAATGATATTCCTCAGCATTTTAACATTTCCTGAAGTGTGGTAGTAAACCATTTTTTAAAAATGGTTTACTATTTTCATGAAATTCAGAAACGAAATGAAAACATGACACAAAAACGGACACGACAAACAATTTTGTTGACAAGTACTGTCACTTGACAGCCATCATACTCTAAACGAGCTGTAAAGTAGTGACCAAAGAGATTTTATTATTGTTTTTGAGCAACATATTAAAACAATATTATTATATCCGCAATTTCAGGATTTTCAGGATCTACCTAAGTTCCCTAATTTTGGCGAATTTTTAGATAGTTTAAGGACTGGTTGAGTTTAATATGATAGTTCTACACAAATGATTCTCAGAACATTTTTAACATGCACTGAGATAGTCGAGTAATCCAGGGTAAGGTATGCTAAACTGTCCTTGGACCCATATAATAATTCAGAGAATGTTTAATTTCCAGTTCCCACAATCAATTGACGATGTCATCTCGCTCAAGAAATCCGACACGTAATAGGCAATTGTTAACAAACCCTCTGTTCATCATACAGTCCTGTCACGGCAGGCGATGGGAGTAAGTATTTAATTAGACAGCAGTCTGTTTTCGCCGGCCCTGTCATTAATCAATCACTCCGACGCGAAGCTATTATTCGACACCTCGACACCTCCGGGGTAGCGAAGTGTTGAGCATCACTGAATTACGGTACAAAAGATTTTACATGAAGTTATTCGAGCACTATAATCACTCGGATTTCTCATGTTTCAGCTGCAGGTGCAATCGATTGTGCAAAGATCAGAAAACATGTTAGAGCAAAATTATTCTAAAAAAATATAACCAATTAAAAATATGCAGTTATCTTTTAAAGTAAATGTCATGCCTTACAATTTTTATTGGACACAAAGTATAAATAACACCATGGCAGATTATATGTCCATAATCTGGCGTTGTTTTACAGCCATAGGAAAAGCTTAATGAGCGATATGTCACGGTAAAGGCTTAGCATTTTATTAGCTGTGATATCGTATGGATTTTACATGTTAACACTTACTGAGCTACAATTTATTTACCATAAAATCGAGCTTGTTGATTAGAGATTCGAACCTTAAGGTCGCAAGGCTCGGCACATCACTATAACGATTCCACTTTAAAGTGCAAGTCACAAGAGCCCTCTTAAAATATAATAATCGTGTTAAACACAATCATAAAAGCCATATCCGATTAGAGGAATTTTAAATAGGTTCCAGTCTTGTTATCTTGGGGCTATTGTCGAACTGCTAACTACATATCGGTGGTGTAAGTTTTTGTTCTCTGTTGCCCGTTGCCGGTATTGACTGATGAACTTATTATTGTTCGTTCTTGATGCTGCGCTTGGTGGAATGGAAACGGGGACTTTAATTGAGCGCATTGATGTATTGACGCGGACTGCTGACAGGTTCTGATGATAGCTCATTGCACAATTTAAAAAAAACTATGAAAGTACAGGTTAATGTCTTGGATATTAAATCTAATCTTGTTGTAAAGTTCTTAACATGGCCGTAATTTAATAGGTAATTGTCCAACATTTATTACTGAAAAAGGTTTTTTTATGGTTTAACTGTACGTTTTTTATTGTTATTAACTATCGTACTTACCTACATAGGTTCACTAAAAACTGTAAAAAGCTCTAATTGTGGGGTAATATATCTACATAAAGAAGAATTAATTCAAACAATTCTCACCCGTCATTGTAAGCCCTTGGAAGAAGGAGATTGATAGCGTACCTTTTCAATCGGACTAATAATTGCTCACGCGTTGTTATTATCACCTCCGAGACAGCGGTGGCTTATTGACTCTGTCAAAATTAATTCAACTTTGAACACAAATCAATTTCAATATAATATTAGCTGTCGGAGCATGTCAAGTTACCGTCCTAATGAACGGCCCGGCGTTCCTTTCTCACGTCCAATAAACGTCCAAAACTTTTTTCTTTTGTTTTATTTGAACAATTATTATTTACTAGTTTTTTCCACGACCTCATGCTCAATAAAAAGATACACAAATTGTTTTGTATACCTACCTAGAGGTAAATAATTCATAGATAGATAATGATACACATAAATGTAGTCTATTTTCTTATGAATAGGAAGTCATAATTTTGGAAACGTTTTCACAGTTCACTTGCATTGTACTAACATGTTTTTCAGTGCCGAATAAAAAGAGAAGCAAAAAAATGCACATTACCTACTGTTGTACACCTAAATTTTAAAATACCAACTTAGCTTATACAAAAGACATGTGCTTCCATCTTTAATTCGGATCTGATTTTTCATCGAAACCACGAAACCCTAAAAGGATATGATCCATTTATTTCCTGGCAATATCCTTCATTCCCGAACGTTCACTAACTGCCCTCGGTCGGAAATAATTAGCAAGGTGAGATGTGGGTATTTCTCATCGCCACGGTTCTCATCGTCACCTTCGTGGCGAATTTTATTTCTAACTTATTTGAACTTTTTGTAAACAAAAATTGTAGCGCTTGATGTGAAGATTGTATTCTCAGTAAATCAGTCAAATAGTGAGTCTCGTTTGGAAGCTTTAACGTTTTGAATTTTTTGATGCCACGAAAGTGATTCTGTATTTCACAGCAATATTTTTTTCAAACTTTACTACTGTAAATGACTCTTAAGTGTTTATATAACACATATTTTGTCTTACTTTCATAGATAAATAGCAATAACATAATATAAATAGGTACCTACTTAAATACAAGATACAATTTTACCGATTAACTCATGTACTAAGTTAAAAGATTCTACGCAATTGGTTTTAAGGGTGACACTGGTGGCATTCTGAAATGCTAAAGAAGCAAAAAACGGATTTAGAACCTCGATAAAAAAGAACTCTTACTGATTATCAGTCCCTCAACAAAAATATATTTTTTATTTTGGCCAGAGGGCCTCGTATTTTATTATTATTGCAAGCTTTTATTTACTTTCACATGTCTGGTGTAGGCAAATCTTGCAACTTAAAATTGACCAACTTCCCGGTTTCCCATTGAGCTGAAATTTTTCATGCATGTGTAAGTCGGATGACAATGCAATATTATGATGACATGGAGCTAGAAGGTAGCCATAGGAGCTCTGCAATAAAACGACATAACCCCATAGAGTTTGGGCTCATTTGATTTGTATTGATGAGAACTTCCATCCTATATGGTAACCGGGGTCTGATGATGAAGCCGGAAGGTGGCCATAGGAAATCCGCACTGAAACGACACAACCTCATCGAGTTTGGGCTCATTTGGTTCGTATTGACGAGAACTTCAATCCTATAATGATAACTAGGGTCTAATGATGGAGCTGGAAGGTAGCCATAATAACTACGTAATAAAACGACACAACTTCGTCAAGTTTGGTAATTCGTATTGACGAGCACTTCAATCACATATGATAACTAGGGTCTGATGATGGAGCTGAAAGGTGGGCATACGAATTCTCCGCACTAAAGCGACACTACCTCATCGAGTATGACTTCAATCCTACTTATATGTTAACCAGTCTGATGATGGAGTGGAAGGTGGCCATAGGAACTCCGCAATAAAGCGACACAGCTCCGTTGACTTTGGGCTCATTTAATTCGTCTTAAAGAGTACGTTGGCCTATATCAGTGATTTTCAACCTGTGGGTCGCGACCTCCTGGGGGGTCGCCAAGCCTCTATTTGTACAAGTAAACCTCGCGATTAGCTTTTAGTCATATAAATTGAGTAAAGTAATAAGTTGATGGGTTTGAAACAATTTATATTTTATTTTATTCTTTTTAGCGCATTAAAAGCTTGTTTTTCAAAAATAATTTTTATTCCAATCTTTTATAACTCAAACTTCAGATTAAATTTATCTTACAAACAGATACCTACACAGTCACATATACAGACATACATACAGACAGACAACAAAAATACGAGGCCCTTATTTATTTATTGATGTACTGATCTCTACCAACCACGTATAATTTATTAGTTATTAAAATATTGTAAAAACATACATAACATACAACACCAGTCACTATAATATATTTTGAAATAAACCATTGCAAGAAATCACTTTCGTGGCCTAAAATCACCTTCGTGTATAAAACACCACGAAGGTGATGCCACGAAGGTGACGAAAATTTTAGTTTTTTATGAATTATCCTTAAATTTGAATTTAACGGTTCAAGTTGAATACTACACAAATAAGTCTAACATGTTGAGTTTTCAATGGCAAAGTTTCAATTAAATTGTTTAAATTTTAGAGGTAGAAAATATTGTTCAAGCAAGCGACTGTATGTCTATGGATAATCACAAAAAGTTACGTATTTTTTTCGCGGAGCGACGATCGACCTATCTAACCTCCCCAATGGTCGAAGCGCGACTGACGTTAACCGAATAGAATGCTGTGGTTGGTTGCTGGTGTTCGGTTTAACGGCAATTTTGTATTATTACTCAAAATTTTAGGTACCTAAAATCGTGTGACCAACGTATTTCGCTTTCTCGATTCAAAATAATTATAAGAAGATATTTTTTTGACTGTTGTGTGGAAAGTATATTTAATTACGATGATTTTAGTATATGATACACACAAATTGAATGAAAATTGTGAATGCAGTAACCAAATGTTTCATTGCAACCGAAGGTGTGACACGATGAGAACGCGAAAAATGACCCCGTTTTTTATCGTTTCATGTGATTTTTTCGTATTATTTTTGCTTCTATTACGATAAAATTTATTTCGTATGTAGCTAAATAGATATTTTATCATCTGATTTCAAAGTTATTGTTCTAACTTATACCGTTTATGAACTATTACTGTGTGACCATCAAATTTGAGTGAAAATGAGAAGTACCCATGTAAATACTAAATAGCAGCGATTTTTCCTTACAAAGATGGCGGCCACCTTGTTTTCGCAGGTGTCCCTCTACAATGGCGGAGTACCTAAATCGAACGTCTTGTGGCATGTCGCAGAGATCGTCTCCTGCATAACAATGCATACCTATTGAAGCTTTGTACTCATCACGCACACACAGCTTGTCAGGTCACA